GAAGGTGATGTGCAAAATCTACAGGGTCAACATAGGTCCCTTTGTGGGATTTCACCTGGGTAGTAACAGGAGACTGGGCCAGGTGCAGGTGGGAACTGTTGGGGAAAGGTCATTATTTAGGAAAAGTCAGAGGCAGATGCAGGCTGAAGTAGTAAGAACACAGAGAATGTGAATAAAGAGAGGATTCATCAGTAGCACAGGAAGAGTCTGCAAAGAGAGGTGATTCTGCTAAGGCAAGACGGATGCTATTTGGTGCAAGAAAGCCAGAGGGAGGGCATCCCAGAGAAATCTTGGTTCCCGACAGTGCTGTAGGTCCCACTGCTGTGAGGGTCACCCACGCCCTCATTAATGCCTTGAATTCCCAAGAGATCCCTGTCCCCCTTCCTGCTGCACGTGTATCCTCACTCCCCTCTACTTGAGTTAGTTTGACTGGGTCACGGTTCCTTGAGCCTTCCCCAAACAGATGATGTTGTCAGCATCCTGAGTTATGGAACACACTGGCCATTCTCTCTGGCTTTTACTGTTTTACACTGTGTCCAATTTACAAGTATTAGAATGCCTTCCTCTGACCCTCAGCGGATCTTTATCTTACTTTAGGGTAAATAAATCATGTTTTAGACATTGCACTGAACAAATTCAATTTGTCTTCGTGAAAAATAGCACTGGGAAAATGGGCAGCATAGGGTCCTGAGGAAGAGCAGTGACTTTGGAGCCGGACTCCCTGCAGCCCGTCCCAGCTGCATTGCTCACAGACTGGGTGGTGCTGGGCGAGTTACCGCACTTCTCAGAGCCTCTGCATCCTCATCTGTAAAGTGGGGATAACAATGGTGCCTACCTCATAGGGCTTTTATGATTATCATATATGGAAATTATAAAGTAAGTTCTGTATGAGTTTTGTTTAACCAAGTGAATATTCCTCCTTTCTTACATGATTGCAAGTGACAATGGCTTGGATTTTGTAATTTTAATGAAAGGAAAGATAAACACAAGTCAGGTGATCTACATAATTTAGTTATAAGTAGCTATGAGTCATTGAAGACCCACCATGTGGCCAGCACTGACCAGATACTCGGCATCCATTATCTCATGTATGTTGCCTGCAAAAGGCAACTTGTAATTAACAAGCATATACCAAAAGCTTACTATATAGCAGGCATTAGCAGGGCTACAGAAATTCATACAGCATAGTCCCTGCTCCTGAGAAATTCCCTGGGGCGCTCGAGGTGGGTCAGAAAACTTTGCTATTCACTTTAGTTCCATCATCTACAGAATAAGGAAATCCGATGGGGTGACCACTAAAGTTCCTATCTCATCTAATTTTACAGGTACTAGGGTGAAAGATCATGCTACCTATTGATAACGGCTAAGACTTTTCAGTTTTGCCACTTAATAACCACTTGTGCTAAATGATTGTGTAGATGATCAATGCTGCGGTATTTTGAAAGGTCTTTGAGGCCAGGTTATTTGGATTGGGTTGCTAGAATGTACTGGCAGAAGCAATAGCTCTCTATAGACTGAAATTTCACAAGGCCAAGGGAAAGACCAAAAGGCAAAAATCATAGTGCCCGAACAGGAAGATGACACCTACTTCAACTCATTCAGTTGTATTACTGGGTTCCAGATGAGAAAGGTAATACAATTCATGGCCAGTTTAGGCATCTAGTCTCTAACACTTGTGCTATCACTTTTTGCACCGCCCTGTAATATGTCAAACTAGCTAACAGACCAGGCTCCAGAGTCAGGCAGTTTGGGTTCAAATCTCTACTCTTCGGCTTACAGGTGTGTGATCACCAATCAAGTTAGTGAGCCCCTCTCTCTCTTGGAAAGTTGGTATGATAATAGTATCTACCTGGATAAGAATTAAGTGAGATAATATTTGCAAATTGCAACATTATTGTGCCTGGCATAGAAAAAGCAATCAATGTGGCCCAGGGTTTCTTTTAGAGGTGATGAAAATGTCCTAAAACTGATCATGGTGATGGTTCACACTGAAAACTACTGAAATTGTACAGTTCTTATTAATGAAAAAGTGCACCAGAAAAAAATCCCCCCCCCCAAAAAAAAAGAAAAAGAAAAAGCAATCAATGATGACAGTAAACACTTCTAGAAAGCTCTTACTATGTGCCAACCTCTATTCTAAACACGGTCAACTCATTTCCTCCTCTAATCTTCACAACAACCCTAGGAGGCAGGTATTGCTATCACTCCTCAGAAGCAGCAGCACAGAAAGGTTGAGAAGGGTCACAATAGGTAGCAAAACACAGAGTCATACTTAAAACACTGATCTCCTGAGTCTGAGCTCGTAACTACTACACTGTCACATAGAGAGTCTCTCATGACTTTCTGTTGCCAACACTGACTCTTCCTACATGTGAGATGCAGCTAAAAATGTCTTAAATGAATGAATTCCCTCAGTCTTCACACCAACCTATAAATAGATATTAAGTTCATATTAAATGCTTATTAGACTAACATAATAAGAGGGCAAAACAGTGCCAGGAGAGGGTCCTCAGCTCCAATGCGAAGAGAAGTCAGATGAAGACTAAACGTTCAGAACTAACAGGAACTACTCTAAGCAGAAAATGCCACTGTCAGTTCCCTGACACCCTAGATGTCAGGGAACTTGGGACTGATGACACAGGGTGGGCAACAAAGATACTAAGCCATTTTGCCGGCTTCGGAATTCTGTTGAAGAACCAGATCATTACACCAATTAGGAGGAGGAGGTAGAGCATAGTGGAAAAGTGGCACTATGAAGAAGTCAAACATCAGCTTTTCACTTACTGGTTGCATGTCTTTCAGTAAGCCACTCAACTGCTGAGCCTTGGGTTTTCATTTGGGACAATGGGGAGAATACTACCTCATTTGTAGAGCTGCTTTGAAAATTAAATGAGAAAATTTTCAAGGGCCATGCACAGGGACTAGCAGAGAACAGACAATTTTTCTTCTGATTTTCCTCTGAGACAAAGAAAACATGGTTGGGTGTTTGTCCAGATGGCTAGCTCAAAAGGGTCCTTCTAGCATGCAGCCTCGGGGACGGCACAGAATGCAAGTCTGACAACAAAGTAAAATTCCACATATTCAATCTTGGATAAATCACCAAGTCTTCAGAAACACTTTTAGATGACCTCATTCTCTTGGGTCGTATTACTCAAGGGGTTTGACTACAGTGTGAACTTTCCCAAATCCCAAATTACAGACCAATTCAAGCATACAAAATAGCCACTCTTTCCTATTGACGATATATATTTTTTAAGACTCTGCATAAAATGCTTAACTGCTATCCCATTGATTTTTTTTTACTCTTTCTCCAACATAACATTGCTTAACACCTCATTTCTGTTCCCAAGATCTTCACTGTCAGTAAATTATTATTTGTGCAATAGAATTATAATTCTAAAAGAATATGTTTTATGCTGTGATTGATGGAAAATGTGCTTTTAACTTTCAGGGCAAGACCAATTTTCTAACACTTCAGTTCTATTTGCTGAAATGCATTACTGCTATAAAGCATCAATTATGGCTAATAACGGCATTATTCTTACCTCAGTAAGTACTTGGTTTGGTAAAGCTTTAAGGACTCTCAACTTTGGCAATCAATTTAGTTAACTACAGGAAAGAGCCGATTTCATATAGATTATTACCTTAATGTCATATAAGTGGTGTTCGATATACATTTACATATACCTCTATTAAGCTTGCCAGATAAAACACACTCTGTGAGCCATATTTGTATAATACCACAGTTATCAAAGTTAGAGCTCATATTTTCCATTGCCTTACCCCTACACTTTTCAGGTTTTACAAATTAAATTCATGCCAGACTCAGTAAAAAAAATCACAGAAATAGGGAATTAGGGAGATTAGCCTCAAACAGGGGATTAGGGGGATACATGAGTCCCAGCTAAGTTCCAGTGGAAAGGTAATAAATTCTATCTTGCATTTTGGGCTCTACCACTCAACCATCTAACCACCTAAAACCTGGAATCTTCCAACACATCTTATGATCCCTCTACTCTGCTCCTAACTTGTAGTCAAAGTATGCCAATTCCATCTTTTAAATGTCTTTTGAATCTCTCCTTTGATGCTACTACCCTAGGTTCAGTCTGCTCCTGCTTCAAATTGCAATGCAGAAGCTTGTATACCTAACAAGTTTTGAAATACAAATCAAGAACACTACAGAACATGCACATCAACAGATGGCAATTGTGGTCACTTGGACTTACGACCAAATAGACTCTGGCCATCCTCAGAGCCCTCAGCTCTAAGAAACCTTCCCCATTCTATTGGATCCTCACCTACGCAAGTTCTCTAGAATGCAAACTTGACCATATCTCTCTTCCCTGCTTAAATATTTCTCTGCATTCTGCATGCCCATAAAGTACGTCCAGGTTCGAAAGAAGTTTATGGAGTCTGATTTTGAAACAGAAGCTAATGTGCCCTGATACTCCAGAATATATCACCTTGGACCCCCATAACCCCATGGAAACTGACCTTTCAAAGTTACTTAATCTTTCAAAGTTACTACTGCAATACAGAAGCTTTTCTGTATATTTCAAAGGAACTGAACTCTTTTTCTCCCCTCAAGATAGAAATCTGTTACATCAAGGTAATTTTGATTAGATAGTTCCCTAACCTTAACCACAAGCATTAAAAAGTGAGCCATCCCAAAGCCTGAAGCAGTGTCTGTAACCTTGGTTTATTGAGTTCTAATTAAGTCCAGCACCAACAAGCCCTACCATGAGAAATGGACACAGGTGCACATAGAAAAGATGCAGCCCTTGCTCTCCCAGAAATCAGTCTGTCTAGAAAACACATGTAAAAATTATCACCTGGAATGATAAGTATAATTAGAGATATACACAAATGGAGATACAGGAACATCATGGAGGCGTTTTATCAGGCAGAGAAGACATAGAACAGCAATTCAAGCAGAAGAAACTGCCCATGCTTTTCCTTTCCCCAACCAGAGCTAAATAAACCTGTGTGGTTTTACTTACAATTGTGAAGTTCATGACTTTGAGGATCCAGATGGTCATGGCCAAGTTCACCAGTATTAAAATCATGAGGAGCAGGACAAAGAAATACAAGCATCTTTTCCGCCAGCCGTAAATCCCCACTTTGTATACTTGAGGCCCCTCGGAGCCGGGCATGGTGCTCCGGTGGTGTGCGTACTGGTCCTGAGGCATCTGAAATAAATGAGGCAAGAGAGAAGCACTCACATTAAACTGCTGAGAGGAGACAGAAAAATAAAGCAAAAAAAAAAAAAAAATCAACTGATGAAGAGATATGGCTGCTGTCTGTACATTTACACCCTCTTCCTGACAACTCTAAAACTCTGCTTCCCCTGGACAAAAGCAGCTCCTCTTTTGTATGGTTGCTTTGGTTTTCTCATTGTCGCAGCCATCTCTCTTGATGAGTATTGAGACGTCCCCATCCACAAGTATCCTGGGAAGAAAGGGACTCCTAGGAGGTTATTTTCCAAATGGCTCTTAAAATTCCAACATCCTCATGAGGGTGACACTCAAAGACCTACCAAGGGGCTGAAGGGAAAATTGAAAATGACTCGAGAAAATAAATTAACCCCAGCAGTTCATCTTGAGAGCATAAAAAGACTATTTAGGCAATTTATTTGGGGATGGGGGAGTGGTAGACAAAAATCTCAAATGCAATCATTCTGTATTGCCAGGTAATCAGTGATGAAAGTATTTTAGACTTAAAAGGGGTCCTGGTAGACACACAGGTGAAGCCTCGACTTGATTCAGAAATCTTCAATAAGTGATAGTCTAGTAAATACCTCACTTCCCTGGGAGTTAGTCCTTGTGAGTTAAGCAATTCTAATTGTTATCAATCAACATATTTAAGAAACATAAAGGAGGGTCAAAAAATCAAGCAAGATGTAAACGTGCTCTCCAGGAGCTTGGAGGCTAATGGGAGGATGAACTAGTTAAACACAGATCATAGAAGAAGGAGATAAATTGGAAAAATATTTGTCAGCCTTAAGTCATATGTTGATCCCCGTTAAAATAAGGAAGCTCTCCCAAATTCCCTGCTGCTGACACAAATTATCTTGATACCAGCATTCCTGATGAGGTACCAACACAAATCTAGATAAACTCATCACTTCCATAAAATTCTAAAACCAGAGCAAATTTTAAAATGAAATACAAATAAAAGTACAAAATTCCTATCATCACAAAAGGGAGAATCATCGAGCACTACGAAGGAGGATGATTTGCTAAAACTGAACTGCATGAATGTGGTACCCAGGGCTTTTACACAGCATCCTCTGAGCTCAGCACCCCTGCTCTGCATGTGACAACATGGCCCTACTGTCTTTCTCTACTCAGGTAATGGCACAGCCATTATTGTGGCATTTTTGCTGTGGCTTTCACATAGGCATTCTACGAAAATGAAGCCTGCTCTATTTATTTTCCGCTGAGCCAATAGCAAATAGATGAGTGATATATGGTGCCAATGTGACCATAATGGTACACCAAAATCTGGGCCTTCAAACCACATCCTTGGTCATTAGGTCATCTTCCAGATGGCTCAGAATATGATTATTTTATGGTTTTTAGATAATCATCAAAATGCACACATAAAACCTCAAAATCCCTCAGAGAACTCATGGCTGTTAGGCATCAGTGGAATTCCATTTGAAAAATTGAGTGAATCCATCCTTATGGTCAACTAAAATGTTCCACAAAGGCCTACATGGCATCTGTCTCATTCTAAATACTAACCTAGCACCGAAATCAGTGCCAAATTCGAGTGTATGTTGGAATATGTGTGCGGAATGAATGAATGAGGAAAAAATGCATAAACAATGACCAAATGAATGATTTCCCATCTGTTACTAGTTCTGCTGCTGTTTGGGGATATACAAAAGTCCAAGCCAAACGCCATGGGGAAGTTCTTGTTTGTATACTTGTGAATTTCCACTTCAGGCTCCCAAAGCATTGGGTTCCCAGCCAAGCAGTGAGCTTTATACTATAAGAGGATCACAACTTCATATCTCAGTTCCTGACAAATCTTCTGTAGATCAGGGATGTGTTGTAAGAAGAAGAGAACAAAACAAAGTCATCAATCATTGGCCTTTTTACATACCAAGATCAAATGAAAATAAAAAAGAACATTTTATAAGCCTGAAGATGATTAGGCCTTTATTTTCCACCAAATAAAATTCTAGGAATTAAGAAAATGATCACAGAATCTTAGAATCACATCTGCAAGGTCCTTTAACGCTAATCAACTAATTTTATGAAAGAGCCAAATTAGAATTAGAGAAATTAATCTACTTATGCAGAGCTGCAAGGGTCTGTGGTGGGCAGGGTAGAGAACAATAATCTATGCTTCTCGGGGGCATGAAGAACAGTGACAGACCCTTCCCAAACAAGGGTACAGAAGCTAGTGACACTGTCACTACACCAAGTGCTTTTTCTCTGTCACTCACCACAACCATTGGTGCCATTCACAATTTAGCTACAAAATGGAAACGACGTGTTCGATAAATATTTTGAAGGGGATAGGATGGGGATATGGTTATCACACTTGTGACATTTTTTCACATAGAAATGGTCAGGCCTTGACAGAATGTAGTGATTATCCTGAGTGGGGGTCCTCAGTCCTGGATGCACAGCACAATGGCTCATGGAGCTGTCAAAGCATCTACACTCAGGTTAATTAAATAACAGTCACAGGGGTGGCACCCATGCATGTGTATTTTTGAAAAGCTCCCCAGGTAATTCAAAGGATAAACAGGACTGCATACCATTGGTCTAGAATAATGTCACTCTACCCTGACTATGATCAGAATCCAAAAGAAACTTAACAAATACAGTCCAAACTCTGAGCTCCAGTGTTAGAATCTTGAGCTCAGGATTACACATTATTTAAAAGCTCCCTAGGTGATTCCAAGCATCTGGGACAACCAAAAATTGCTTTTTTTTTTTTTCCCAAAGATTAACTAATTTAAAGCAAAAGTCTAGAAAGAAACTCCAGCAAGTAAAATAGCAAAAAATCAGAGCTCTGCTCCTTAAAGCAGGAATGAGGGTCTGGCTACTACTCTTGAGCACCTGTGCAGAGCCTGGGGGTACCTAGGAACCACTGATTTTGTCCAGCACCATCAATGACCATCAATGACCATCAATGGACCTCAAGACCAGGACAAGCAGCTCCCTTCCCACCACACAATGAATTAGAAGCCGAGCAGAGATTATGACTCAGATTCTTTGCTGAAGGACACAAGGCTCTTGCATCCCCACGACACCCACTTTAACGAGCCACATGAAACAAAATACTCCAGTGTCCAACTCTGTAAAATAAATAAGGAACAGGGAAGGGGTATAATTTTCTATAAATGATCATAATAGGAGGCCTTGCAAGGCAAACATAAGGTAATGGATACATGTGTTATAAATAATCCCTTCATGCATAGAAGAAATTTAAACATGCTGAGTACTCTAATTTTTCTAGTTCAAAATTAAAGCATGTGGAAATGATAAAAAAAAAAAAAAAAAAAACAAAGGAGGAAAGATGATCTCATCTCCAATCTGTGTTTCTTCTTATTCCTTCCCGGAAGAAATTTACTGTCCAAGGAAGGAAATTAAAGTTTTAAGTCCTCACTTGGGCTGGCCCTTTTGAAGGCCCTGGGAGAGGCCTGAGTAATGCATGAACATTGTCATGCATTTCTATAAAATTCAAAAAGGATGTTTTCAGTGTAACTGGCTAAACTCTGTCTTTTTCTACTCTGACATGTCTGTTTTGGTAATTATCATAATATTTTTAACTTTTTCATTATTATTATATCTGTTATGGTGATCTGTGATCAGTGATCTTTCATATCACTATTAACATTGTTTGGGGGCACCACAAAACCCATTAATATAAGATAGTAAACTTGGTCAACAAATGTTGTATGTGTAACGACTGCTCCACTGACCACCTGCTCCTCCATTTCCTTCCTTCACTTCCTTATTCCCCGAAGACGTATTGAAATCAGTTCAAGTAAGAACCCCACAATGGCCCCTAAGTGTTCAAGTCAAAGGAAAAGTCACTTATCTCTCACTTTAAATCAGAAGCTAGAAATGATTGAGTTTAGTGAGGAAGGCATGTCGAAAGCCAAGGGAGGCCAAAAGCTAGGCATCTTGCAGCAGTGAAGTTGTGAATGCAAAGGGAAAGTTCTCGAAAGTGCTACTCCAATGAGCACACAATGTTAAGAAAGTGAAACAGGCTTATTGTTGATATGAAGCAAGTTTGGATAGTCTGGATAGAAGATCAAACCAGCCACAGCACTTCCTTAAGCCAAAGCCTAGTCCAGGGCAAAGTCCTAACTCTCTTTAATTCTATGAAAATTGAGAGGGATGAGGAAGCTGTAGAAGAACATTTGGAACCTAGCAGAGGCTGGTTCATGAGGTTTAAGGAAAGAAGTCATCTCCTTAACATAAAAGTGCAAAGTGAAGTAGAAAGTACTGATGGAGAAGCTACAGAAAGTTATACAGAAGATCTAGTGAAGATCGCTCAGTAAGGTGGCTACACTAAACAACAGATTTTCAATCTAGAAGAAACAGCCTCATACTGGAAGAAGATACCATGTAGGACTTTCATAGCTAAAGAAAAGAAGTCAATGCCTGGCTTCAAAGGACAGTCTGACTCTCTTATTAGGGGTTAATACAGCTGGTGACTTTAAGTTGAAGCCAATGCTTATTCACCATTCCCAAAATCATAGGGCCCTTAAGAATTATGCTGAATTTACTCTGCCTGTGTTCTAGAAATGGAACAGCAAAGCCTGGATGATAGTCCATCTGTTTACGGCATGGTTTACTGTATATTTTAAGTTCACTATAGAGATCTACTGCCCAGAAAAAAAGATTCCTTCTAAAATATTATCGTTTACTGACAATGTATCTGGTCATCCAAGAGCTCCATTGGAGATATACAAGGAGATTAATGGTGAGTTTTTCGTCTGCTAATATCACATCCATTCTGCGGCCCATGGATCAAGGAGTCAGTTTGACTTTCAGGTCTTATTACTGAAGAAATTCATTTCATAAGGCTATAACTGCCACAGACAGTGATTTCTTAGATGGATCTGGGCAATATAAATTGAAAACCTTCTGGGAAAGGTTCACCATTCTAGATGCCATTAAGAACATTTGTGATTCATGAGAGGAAGTCAAAATAGCAA